ACACACAAGTGTGTGCACACATCAAAATCTACACACAAAGACAATCACACTCCCATGCCAAGACAATGGCCTGCTAATCCTTGTTTGTGATTGGACGAATCCAGATTACCCAGAGGGCACCAGCTGTCAGGGAGAGGCAAAGCCCAGTTTCCTCAGTATGACACACACTCACAACAAACGTTAGCATGTTGCTACTTCTGAAATCTCATAGTAATATGTATTTGTGTTACATTATGTTGTGTTTTATTGTGTGACCTCACAGTGAAGCTTTCAGCTGCCGTCAACAGGAGCTGTTTGTTACTGCTGTCAACACACTGTAAATATAGGAATGTGAATTAATACGACTGTAATGCTAACAGGCGCAACCAAGGTCCAGCTTAGCCAAATGTGGGAGATACCACAGTGTGCTGTGTGTATTTTATTCTTAGTCGCTGTTGTTTGGACCCTTCCACCAACTCATTGTCTGCAGGCTGTGCAACAATCCTCCACAGTTTTGTTATTAGAAGTCACAAAAGTATCCTCAATTCAGCCATTGAAAGGCATTTTTTCACTTTGGCTCAAACCTGTGTCTCTGAAAGTAATTTTCCTTAATTTGTTTGTAAAATATCAAATTTTAGGATTTTGTATTCAAGTAAAAAAGAATGAAGTAAAATATCTCTTGAACAGGATTCATCAAATGACACAAACAGCTCATACTACGGTAATAGGAGTTTTTTGCATTGTATCGTGTAATATTTAACATGTTTCAATTGGACTTTTGAGTTTTCTAAGCCTTCTGGATTTCATTAACTTCCGACCCCAAAATCACAGCTTTTATCCTTCATTTCCCCTGTGTGCAACCTCAGAGGGCCGAGCCGTGCCAAACCGAGCCGGGCCAACAATGCAGGCGGAGGGAGGAGACAGGAAGCTAACTGACACACTGTGGAGCCGTGATAAGAGCAGATCCACTTAATACTGGAGTCCAGGGAGAGAGGGGAACAGGGAGAGGAAGAGGAGGAGGAGGAAATGAAAGGGAGAGGAAGTGAGTTAGAGAGGGAGGAAGAGAATACATGTTGAAAGGGTGAGGGAAAGAGACACATAGCCAGAGAGAGATTTACTTTCAGTGTGTTGTTGAGAGGCTTTGCGTTGGCCTAGTTTCTGTTCTCTGTGTGTGTGTGTGTGTGTGTGTGTGTGTGTGTGTGTGTGTGTGTGTGTGTGTGTGTGTGTGTGTGTGTGTGTGTGTGTGTGTGTGTGTGTGTTTTTTCTAGACACAGTGAGGTCATAAAGCATTATGGCAGGTTTGTCATTGTTCTGGCTCTGGAACACTTACCTCTCAGTGTGGATTTCCAGCTGTTAGCGACCACACTTATGGTTTGGCGTATTATAGCGTTTTTACTACGAGTCATATTTACTTAAGATCATGGCTAATGATTTTGCAAATTGTCATGTTTTAGGATTGTGACTGTTTTGTATCATTCCCCACTAAATTGTAGTGAGGGAGTTGTAAAAAAAAAAGTTGCTCTCTGGAGTTGTAAAAACCACAAAAAAACAAAAGAGTGTCACAAAACGATGACATAACTTTGACCAAACTTAATACAAACCTGATGTTCACGGTGACGGATTTCACAAGTGAGACAAGTTTGAAGAGTGTCTTCATTGGTTTTCATATTGTAGCAGAATTAACTACTTCCTGGAACTCATGGAAAAATGCATAAACATTTTAATATTGGAAATTACCCATTAGTTTGGTTCACCAAAAACGTTGAGGTTTTGTAAAGGAAAGTCCATGAATCATCTGTTGGATGAAAACGTCTTCAGACTGAATCCCATCAACGTTTTCAGTGTCAGACACAACAACAGAAAGTGTCATTGAGCTGCTGTAGACTGTTTAATACTGTCTGTTTACTTCCTAATCTCCATCGCTCAGTTTCCCATGTAGTAAACACTGGGTGTCTGGTCACACTTTCCTGGGTGAAATGAGAAACATGTGAAATAGGAAACAGTTTCTCTTTCTATGCTGTGTTTTCTCCAGTTCCTGCAGCTCAACAAGTGTAAACTCTACAGCCCTTGGATTTGTGGGAAATGATTTAGCCAGTTTGTTCCAAGCTGATTTCAATCTCAAATATACAGTTGTAAATGCTTGGAAAATCATAATTTAATTTGCATGTGACCAGGAAATGCATTTCCTGATTGGACGATGTCCTAGAAAGACATGAGGTCACATTTAAGGTCAACAACCATTTTTTCATTTAATCTGATTACTTTTTACAAATAGCTCTGACTCTGTTTTTCCTCAACACTCTTTCCTTACAAGTTTGGTATTTACTATGCTGCTATAAATATCACCTATAAAGTTATATAATTATACAGTATATGTTCCTTTTTCTCCACTTCGATTCAGTTTCTAATAATTCAGTGTTTTGTTTCTCTTGCTGCAGAGGTTTCATTTCCCAGCGGGGATCATTACAGCTCCCTACTATCTTTTCTTATCTCACAGATGTTCTTTTTTGAAAAGCAGCATGTGTCAGGTTTGGTTGCATTTTCATGGAACTGCACATAAAAATGATGGAAATAGAAGAGTGTTCGAATCAGAATCGGGACAGCATTCCCTCTGTGAGTGATTCAAAAAAAGTTGATTCCATCCACCAGCAGCTTCTGGTGCCTGGCCCCCCACCTACTTTAACCGCACCCCAGCCACAAGGTATTACTCGTCCACCTAGGTGTTGCCTCTCCACCTTCTCCCCAGTGGATGTCATCCAAATTACCAAGCTGGTTACTAAGGCCAAGACATCGACCTGCTCTCTTGACCCCATGCCCACAGCCTTGGTCAAGGCAGCTCTATCCACCATCTGCCCCATCATTGTTGACATTGTGAACTTGTCCCTGTCTTCTGGCACAGTCCCACCCTGCCTCAAAACTGCCTCAGTCTCTCCAATCCTGAAGAAGCCTGGCTTGGACCCGGAGGACCTCAACAACCACCGGCCAATCTCAAACTTCCCATTCGTGAGCAAGATCCTGGAAAGAGCAGTTGCCGCACAACTGCAAGACCACATGTCACTGCATGAGCTCTACGAACCCCTCCAATCTGGCTTCAGACCATATCACAGTACTGAGACTGCCCTCATCAAAATCACAAACGACCTCCTCATCGCATCTGATTCTGGCCTCATCAGCATTCTCATCCTCCTGGACCTCTCAGCAGCCTTCGATACCATATCCCATTCCATCCTCCTCAGCCGCCTGTCTGACTACCTTGGCCTCAGTGACACAGCTCTTGCCTGGTTCGAGTCCTACCTGTCTAACAGAAAAAACTTTGTCACCATCAGTGACTGCAGCTCCCCTCCCGCCCCAGTCAACCAAGGTGTACCTCAAGGCTCTGTGTTTGGACCCCTCCTATTCAATATCTACATGCTCCCACTTGGTCAAATCATCCGTCAACATGGTCTCAGCTTTCACTCTTATGCTGATGACACACAGCTCTATCTCTCCACCAAACCGTCCACTCAGCTCCCCCCTCAATCCCTTGTCAACTGCCTACAGGACATAAAAAACTGGATGTCATCAAACCTGCTCAAAATCAACAGCAATAAAACAGAGCTCATGATTGTGGCTCCCAAGACGCAGCTCCAGAAGGTTGGAGACCTGCTTCTCTCCATTGACGGCTGCTCTATCTCCCCGTCCACTGAAGTCCGCAACCTGGGAGTCATCCTGGACACCACCCTCTCTTTCCAGGCACATGTCAAATCTGTCACCAAATCCGCCTTCTACCACCTAAAAAACATTGCCAGAATCCGGCCTTCTCTCTCTGACTCTGTGGCAGAAACCCTGGTACACGCCTTCATTACATCCCGTCTGGACTATTGCAATGGAGTCCTGTCCGGGGTTCCCAGAAAAACCCTGGATAGGCTCCAATATGTCCAGAACTCTGCCGCCAGGCTTCTCACCCACACCAAGCCACCCTCATCCACCTACATTGGCTGTCGGTCAAGTCCCGGATTCAATACAAAAAACACTCATCCTCACGTACAAGTCCCTCCATACCCTCGCCCCCCAGTACTTATTGGACCTCCTCCATCCCTACACCCCTTCTCGGAGTCTGCGGTCCTCAGACACGGGCCTGCTCTCCATCCCCCGCTCTCGCCTCCGAACTGTTGGTGACAGGGCATTCAGTGTTGAGGCCCCCACCCTCTGGAATGCACTTCCTGCCGAGATCCGTAATGCTGCCTCCCTGGACATCTTCAAATCATCACTAAAAACACACCTGTTCACCCTGGCCTTCGGGCCCTAGCCCTTTTCTGGTCCCCTGGCTTCCTTTATTTATTTATTTGGTTTGCCCGTTGATTGTCTGTTTGTTTTGTTTGTCCACCATGTACAGCGACCTTGGGTCCCTTGAAAGGCGCTATATAAATATCATTTATTATTATTATTATAGTTGTTGAAACATTCTCAACAATGTTTACAAGAATACATGAATGGAACAAATAACTTTTTCTGACAAAACCGCTAAATATAGTAGACATGTTTTTGTGTAAAAGTTGGCACACTGATAAACAAGAACAAAACTTCTTCTTTGTGGGTTTTTTCTGGCAGTGCAGCAGCTTTTGTGCTGCTTCCATCACACAGGAAACACATTCATTCATCAAAGTGACACAACTTCGTAGAAGCAGCAACATTTCATTATATGAATGAGTTACAAAAACGTTACCATCACTTGTTTGATTGGTATTACTTTTCCCCAAATATTGCTTAAAATTAGCTCTCTAAATCTTCTTTGGGTCATACCTCAGTTTTAGGGACTTGGCTTTGGAACCGCCTCGTCACCAGTTCCATTCCAAGTATGGACCAAAAGAAACATGATGTGATTGGTAGCTGGAGTATTTCAAGCCTGTTGTGAATAGGTCTTGTCTGCTTGTGTGTGTTTGTACTGTATGACTGAATGAAAACAGAGTTTCCTGTCTTTTTCCTCTACTACTCAGTTTAGAACTCATGCATTGACCAATCTGTTTATGTGTGTTTTTCAGGAACGACAGAGCGGGTGTGTCTGATCCAGGGCACGGTGGAGGCGCTGAACGGAGTCCATGACTTCATCGCTGAGAAGGTGAGGGAGATGCCTCAGAGCACCCAGAAGTCAGAGCCGGTCAGCATCCTGCAGCCGCAGACCACCGTCAACCCCGACCGCGTCAAACAGGTCAGTCTGACCCTCTACGCCTCTTTAGTCATACAGAGGAATAACCCTGCAAACGTGTGTGTTGAGGTAGAAGAAGTACTCAGATCTTGTACTTCATAAACATACATAAAGCTAGCAGAGTGTAGGAAAAATCTGTTACAATCAAAATGTTACAAAAGTACAAAAGTATTAGCATCAAAATATAATTGAAGTACTCATTATGCCAATCTACCCATTCCAGAATAATACATTTGATATTTAGATTATAATTATTGATGCATTAAAGTGTTATCAAAGCTGGTAAAGGTGAAATTGAACTCTTTGAATTGTAGTGGAGTAGAAGTAAAAACTAGCAAAATATTGAAATACTCAAGTAAAGTACAAGTCTTTCAAAATTGTTAGTACAGTATTTGAGTAAATCTACTTAGTTACTTTACACCACTGCGTGTGTGTTAGTGTGTGCCTGGACACGCCACAGCTGAAGGAGTGTGTGAGAGGGAGGAGAGCGTTTGTTTTGAAACGACAAACTGTGTGTTTCTGTGGTCGAGTTGTGATGTTCTGTTTGAGTGAAGCTGAATGAGGCAGAAAATAGAAAAATGACATGCGACCATGCAGACAGTAAACACATGAGGGAGGGAGGGAAACAGAGAGGGGAGAGAAATAGAGGGGGAGACAGAAAGACATGGTGATTGAGAAGATAAGACAGGGAAGGAGGAGGGGAGAAAGAAGAAAGAGAGAAAATGGGAAAGATAGAGGGAAGAAAAATCAGCTGTCAGGTAGGGAGAGAGATGACATCCACTCAGACAGGAAACTGTGTGAGGTGTGAAGATGTAATCTCACCATGACATACACACTTCTTCTGCACGCACACACACATATGTACAGAGAGACCTAAACATCCACACGCTAACTGGAAACACTCCTGCTGAGAGAGGAAGTGTGTGTCCAGATCACTCTGTCATACATGATAAATGTCAAAGATGTCTGCCAAACAGTCTGTTTCTGATTGTACCGGTGACTGTAAAAAGCTCTAACCTGGAAATGGCTTCAATTTGTCTAAAATATTTCTGCAGGGTGATTTAATTTAACATGAGATAGTTTGTCCAGATTTTCACGTCATTTTGAGTTAGGTGGACAATCAGAAAATAATACTCAGAATACTAGCTCAGAGCCTTTCAGCTGTTTTCAAAATAAACTTTAAAGTTTTTTATTTTATTTTATTCAATAGTTCATTAAACTGCTGAGTGTAAAGCTAAGTACATCTCAGTGCCAACAGCAGCTCTGTAATATAGGACAATTAGTTTGGCCACTGACTATGATCCCAATCTGTGTAAGTGATTATCATCATTCTCTCTTCATGATTGCTCCATATTGATTAGTCAGGTCTGGCATTGTTTCCATCTATTGACTATTCAGGCCTGCTTGACAGTGCATTCAACAAGGCCTGTGGGCGCACACACACACACACACTTCTCAGACACACATCCTTGTCTTTGTGGTAGTGTGGGGGTATCATACCAGAACATCTCTTGTGGGGCCCACATTTTCTGAAGCGGTTCTAACATGAGAGCCCCAGAATGTGATAAAGACAAAAATACCCCCACAAAAGTCCAACACTTTTAGGTTTAAACATATGGAAAAACAGTATAAATATAGAAGTAATGACACACCTAAAGTATTCATTAGATGAAAATGATGAATTGCTGACCTGTGCATATGTTTGCACTCCTCTGAGCTTTGGTGTTGCATGAGTAATGTTTATGATTTCCCCTGCTGCAATCTATCATCCTCTCTCATGAGCAGAATTTGGAGGTATGGGGGGGGGGAAGGAGGGCTACACCAATCTATTTGTGAATAATTACAGTTATCAGACTTACACAAACACACACACACACACACACACACACACATATACACACACACAGTCAGAGATAGTGTGTTTTCACAGAGTTCATAATTGTAAGGTGCCTTTATAAAGAGAGTTTAATGCATAATTAATCAATACTTATGAGGGGCCGTACAGGCCGTAATTCATACTGGTCCTCTCACACACACACACATTCTCCTTTTACATACATATATTTTCACTCTCATAAGTGACCTGCTCTATCGAAATCAGTCGCATTGACCCGAAGACACATTTTGAGTTGTATACACTGTTGGAAAGAGGAGATTCTTAGCTTTCTAATGATATCAGGATTGTTGTTGTTCTCCAAATATTAAGCGAAATATGTCACATTATATAATGTCTGTCACCGAGTCATCATTTTGAGAAAAAGGCCTTCAAAGTTTCCTCTTCTCTGGAATCCATCCATCTGATTGGTTATTAGCAAATGATCAAAATACTACGGAGGGAAGATATTTTAGTTTGGATTATTGGTCTGGGGGAAGCTCGCGAGTGTGTGTGTGTGTGTGTGTGTGTGTGTGTGTGTGTGTGTGTGTGTGTGTGTATACGTGTGTGTGTTTGTGTAATTTTGCGTTTGTGTGTATTGTGTTTGTTTCCCGGGGAAAACCCTCCTGAGAAACACCGGCTGTTGTTATGCCTGCTGTGACGTTAAATTACTCCGTTCTCCGCTTGTAATTATGCCGTTACAAGCTTCAAAGCTGTATTTATCATCTGAATTTGCTGAAACAAGTTTAATATTCTGAAAGCCAAGACTTTTTTATTTGAAATCAGATGAAAACAAACTGTAACGGACCCTGCCGTGTTATCTATGATTACTCTACGCCTTACATTCATAATGTCAGCCGGAGGGAGGGGGGGCGGCGCTGCGGAAGAGCAGATTGCGAGTGAGAGCTGCCATCTTCTCTTTACAAGCTTCAAACATGTATTTATCGTGTGATTTTGGAAATAAAAGTTTCATATTCTGAAAGTCAAGACTTTGTTTGTTTAAAATCAAACAAAACACCCGAACCCCGAAAAAATTGTTTTTTACGCAAATCCACGTTTATTTTGAAATGAGCCGTTGCGACTTCCGACTGATTTCGATAGAGCGGGTCACATATACATATATAATTACACTCACACATTCATACATTTTGCTCTCATATTATCATATTTCAATGCATCCATTTTTCACTCACACATTTATACATGTTGCTCACGTGCACATTCATTCAATGTTTACATTTAATATTATAAATAATATATGCATGTCTGAAGACAATATATGTATGTAGAAGAATGTATGTATGTGTGAGAGAAAGTATAGTGGAAACGGAAGGCAGGTCATTATCGCGCTGTGATTGGCTTAGAAGGTCGAGCGGGGCGGGCTTATGTTCAGATCTTCAAATCAACACGATGGAGGGAGTTGAGTCCGTGTGCCTTCGGACCATTTGTTTTTCTTTATTAAACAAGTAAACGGAAGAGCGTCTGAGAGGCGTTTTTGCTTTTTGTTTTTTACCTTACTAAATGGTCTAATGGTCATTGGAGCCTGTGAGCAGTATGAACAGTGTGTATGAATACACTAGATATACACAGCAGCCTGTGAGCAGTATGAACAGTGTGTATGAATACACTAGATATACACAGCAGCCTGTGAGCAGTATTAACAGTGTGTATGAATACACTAGATATACACAGCAGCCTGTGAGCAGTATGAACAGTGTGTATGAATACACTAGATATACACAGCAGCCTGTGAGCAGTATGAACAGTGTGTATGAATACACTAGATATACACAGCAGCCTGTGAGCAGTATTAACAGTGTGTATGAATACACTAGATATACACAGCAGCCTGTGAGCAGTATGAACAGTGTGTATGAATACACTAGATATACACAGCAGCCTGTGAGCAGTATGAACAGTGTGTATGAATATGCTAAGATATATAAAGTATGAAAATGGTAAGCAGTGCAAGTATAGTATACAATATATAGATATTCATTTCATGATGATAAACATTGTGGAACAATGAGGACAAATGTGAATGGAAGTGGCGACGTAAAACTGACACAAAATAACAACAAACTTTTGCCGAGCCAATTGGAGAGTTTCATCACCAGCACGTGGTAAAAACCACCAATGAGCGCTCAGCTCGAGATACCAGCGAGTCGTTTCCCATCAAGCGAGTACTTTGCAAATATAATTCCTGTTTATTATTATTATTATCTACACAGTTACTTGTTTATACAGTGAGGTAAATGGTAAATGTGCATGTATGTCGTTCAGTATGCGTTTACAGGTGAATACGTCGGCATTTCCTGCCAAATACTAGCCTCAAAAAGATTGAAATATAATTAATGCAAATAAACTACTTCTACTAATAAGAATAATCATAATCAATTCAATAATATAAATACTATATTATTTTATTATAATATAGTTGTATAGTCAAGACAAAACATACTTATGACAAAAACTGATATTTCTTAAATCTGTATTCAAATGTAGTTCCCTCTGTCAGCAATGTGTCAACAACTACACACACATTTCTATCAGTATTTCTCTGTGTTGTGGTTGACATGATGATGACTGTTAGGACTTAAAGGTGGGGTAGGTCATTTTGGAGAAACCAGCTCGAATTGTGCTAGAATTTGAAAATACACAGCCGGAAAAAATCCGCCACTTCCTTACAGAGCCCCTCCTCCAAGGGGGTGCGCCCCCCCACTGCAGTCAGCATGTCATTGTGGCCCTGGGAAAGACACTTCACCACAAATGGCTCCTGTGGGGATTGTCCACAGTATTGAGTATGTAAGTCGCTTTGGATAAAAGCGTCTAATAAGTGACATGTAATGTAATGTGCGCTGAGAACTGCGCTGAGAACTGCGCGGAGAACTGCGCACAAGCCGAGCTCATAAGCCGAAGCCCCCTGCGCGAGGCCCCCTGCGCAATGTGAGGCCCCATGCAGCCTGCATGATCGGCCTGTAGGGAGGGACGGCCCTGATCTCAAGCCTTAGAGGGCTGATCACTGGTGTTCCTCCAGGCTTGTAGCCAGCATTGCAGGACATCCCTTTAAGTGTTGGATGTTTGAGGCCACTGTACAGGTCAGGCCAGTTATTCCACACTAAATATAGGT